ATATAGTTTCGTCCGATTTCATGTAAATGGTGCACCAAAGTCCCTATATATCTTTCGATTTGCACAAAATTTGGTACAGCCTAAGCACTTAGGTCTAGAATGATGTCTGCCAAGTTTCGAGGAAATCGGTCCAGATTTAGATATAGCTCCCATATATAGTTTTGTCCAATTTCATGTAAATGGTGCCCCAAAGTCCCTATATATCTTTTGATTTGCACGAAATTTGGTATAACGTACTGAATTTAGCCTAGAATGTTGTCTGCCAACTTTCGAGAAAATCGGTCCAGATTTAGATATAGCTCCCATATATAGTTTCGTCCGATTTCATGTAAATGGTGCACCAAAGTCCCTATATATCTTTTGATTTGCACGAAATTTGGTATAACGTACTGAATTGAGCCTAGAATGTTGTCTGCCAACTTTCGAGAAAATCGGTGAAGATTTAGATATAGCTCCCATATATAGTTTCGTCCGATTTCATGTAAATGGTGCACCAAAGTCCCTATATATCTTTCGATTTGCACGAAATTTGGCATAACGTACTGAATTGAGCCTTGAAAGATGTCTGCCAAATTTCGAGAAAATCGGTCCAGATTTCTATATAGCTCCCATATATAGTTTCGTCCGATTTCATGTAAATGATGCACCAAAGTCCCTATATATGTTTCGATTTGCACGAAATTTGGCATAGCGTACTGAATTAGTTTCAGAATAATGTGTGCCAATTTTCGAGAAAATCGGTTCAGATTTAGATATAGCTCCCATATATAGTTTCGTCCGATTTCATGTAAATGATGCACGATTTGCACGAAATTTGGCATAACGTACTGAAAATCGGTCCATATTTAGATATAGCTCCCTTTTATTATAGATTGATTATAAGTAATTGACGCACCAAGGATCCAATAGGCTGATAGGAACAAAACGTTCTGAAATTAGTATAACCTAACCTGTGACAAGTTTGTTTGAATTCGCTTAATATTTGGATAGAGCTTCCATATATATTTTCGCCCGTAAAGTGGGCATCAAACTCCTCATGTTAGTCAGATTGACATCAAAGTTTGCACAACGTACAAAATTGAGCATAGATTTACGTAGTTGCGTTTTCTAGAAGTACAGACATAGCCCAACCGATGACGTATTTATATTTGTTTGAAGTCGATTTACATACTTTATGGATAGATCTACATAGATTCACATTTAGATAAAAATCACATATTTTATTTCATCCAATTTCATGTTAATCGTCCTGTTTAATATACCCATAGTGGTGAAGGGTATCATATAGTCGGCCCCGTCCGACTTTACTACTTTCCTTACTGGTTTTTCACTCTTTATCGGACGGAGAACATTTCCAATTCGATACCCTTGGGTTAAAAAACGATATTTCGATACAGTCGTAATGTCAAGGGCATTATAATAATACAGATGTTAAAGATACTAAAAAAATTTGTGGCCACTTTTGCTTATAGAATCCATAGATCGGTGTAGCCAGACATTTAGTATGATGTAGATTTTCGGCTGTGGATAAAACGTTATTTGTTTATATCATCAAATATGTTTTTTTTTTGTTATTATTATTTCAACTAAGAAGCTAAAATATATATATTTTTTTTGCTTACCACATCTCTCTTCAAAAAATCCCAATCGATTCAGTCCAACTCATGAGGAAACCTATGCAAAGTATTTTTCTCTCAACCCAATACCTTTTATGATCACAGAAACACCGCAAATCTTTTGTTCCTACATTAATTTAAAATTAGTTGTCGTTGTTCTAAAACCAGTCGAAGTATATTGAAAATTTACATATTTCTTAATAACTTTACAAACAAACGTACTATTTTCTTCTATTTTTAGGCATACCACTAGTTATGGTATAGATATTTAGATAGAAAAAATAGATCTCAGGTTCCAACAACAAAACAAACCACAACAATTTTATATTACAACATTCACTTCTTGGCAGAAATGCGACCAGCTGGCAACCCACCATCCAGTCAAATGGCTGACTGCCTAGCTGGCGTAGTAGATCATAATGACTGCATGTTGATATTCCCCGGAAATATCAGCTCACAGCTTTTAGTTGTTTGTTCGGCTTCGGCTTTTTCACTCACCAACTAGCCATTGCGGCAAGAAAACTACCAAAAGCAGTAGCATGTTTACGCTTGGAATTCTTTTTTTGTGTGTTTTGTTGTTGTTGGTATTTTCTAATTAAATGCAAATGAAGTAATGCCAGGTATAATTGGCTCAGATGCTAATTTACTTTCTGCGCACAACCTGATGTAGATTTTGATGGTGTTGCTGTTGTTCCCGCTCTTGTTAGTCTTGTTGTTGGGGTGTTTATTCCAAAAGTTTTTGTTGCTCCTGTTTTAGTCAGTACTGGTTGTTGGGGGTTTTCATTCGAGGAATGCCAAATAAAAATTCCGCTATCATAGTTTTGATTACAAGTTAGCTGCAAATATATCTACCGCTGGGCAAATTTGTAGGTGTGCTTGTTATAAAAGCTAAAAAAGTAAGTACTAACATAACACGCAGATAGTTATGGGTGTAAAGAAAAAATTAAAAAACGACATCATTTAATAAATATACAGAAATATTTTTTACGGGTTTAAAACATAATGAGAATGCGTAAGACCTTATTAAATTCGAGCTCATGGTCTAGGGGGAGGGTGCGTAAAATTCGGGCGGGCATGAAATCCCTTGGCATAAATAACTAAAAAAAAAATATTTAGTTTTACAATCTTCGATCCTGCTACAGTTACTATGGACCAGGTATGATCGTAATATGACCACAACAAGCATTAAAAAATTCACTTTTGAGGGGTCTTATGGCCTTTTAAATATAAGACTTTTCCTGTACAGGAGGGAGAATAATGCTCAGTAATGGGTTAAGAATCCAGAAAGATAAGTTTTAAGTTTTTGGGTTACGTAAAACATATCCTCATTCCATCTCAAATCCATGTACATCTTTTTAGTCCTTATTTTCTTGAACCCTAAGCTAAGTGCCTCAAGGCGATATTTGTGAACCTACAAATATTCTACCAAAATGTCGCTCATACAATTTTATGATAAGGGTCCCCAAAATCAGGAAATCGGAATTCGTATGTTTTCATCGTCCTATTCCATTTCTAGGCGATCCTTATGCAGAAAACCTTATATCTACGTACCCTAATACATTTTGAATAAATTTTAAATTGTGAAATTGTATTTTCAAGTCATTAGTTCTTATTGTAGAAGGCTATGAAGTCTTCGAATAACTAAATGACTTTGTAAAGGACCATGATGATAAGTTCTGTGCTATACTACAAATCGATGTGGTCCGATCTCGAAACCCAGCGGAGGAGAAAAATATGTCATATTGGCTTTCAAATATTTATACCCTACACAACTATGTTGTCAGGGTATTATAGCTTTGTGCAGCCCCAAAAGTTTGTAACGCCGCGAAATCATATCTCGACTAGCTGTGTCGATCTAGACATGTGTGTCCGTCCGTCCGTCTGTCCATTATAATTTGTAAACACGATACAGGCCATAGTTATGGACCAATCTTCACGAAATTTTGCATGTATAATGGGTTCTGGCCAATGAAGACCCCTATTGTTTTAGGTAATGATCGGTTAATATTAAGGAGATGAAATTGACCAAATACTTAATCTTTGTCGGTTTTTCTAGTAGCTCCAGAGGCCGCAATTATGGCCCCAACATCGTATGCCCGTTTTGATAAAGATCGGTCAATAATTAGCAAATTTGTATTCTATGGCGTATATATTTACCCTAAATATTTACAGGTATCTCCGTATTCGTATATTATTTAGTAACCCATTATCACTCTAGAGAGCGGAACTATAGCGCTGATCGCTTTGAAATGTTTCATGAGGTTCCAGTTATGGTCAAGGACAACGCCTATAATTTTCGGTGAAGATCAGATAATAATTTTGGAATGAAGTGGACCGAAAACTTAATTTTTTGTGTTATTTTCGAGTCGATCTATAGACCTCAAATGGAAACCGAACATCACAACACAAACCACGGTGAAGGAAATCTGTACAATAGCCTTACTTAATACCCGTAATAATCGGAAAATAAGTCAGTGTGAGGAAGAGGTGCTGCTTACCTCTAATCGGGCAAGAGGGTGTAAATATCTCGAAATATTGCCCAGGCTCGGAATAAAAATCTGCAGAAAATTTGAGTTCCGTGCTAGTTGTGCAGGGTATCGTATAGTCGGCCCCGTCCGACTATACTGCTCTGCTCACTGGTTTAAAATGAGTCTTACATTCCCCTTCAGAAGAAAGGCATCCGAAACCCCTAGACAGTCTAGCAAACAACCTTGATATCAACACCAAGACATACGGATAACACAGAATAGAAATAGCAGGAAATAGCGCCAGCCAAAATAAAATGGCAATACTAAATAAGCAAGGACTACAACCACTGCAAGAATTCAAGTATGCGTTGTTTTTAGACAAAGTTAGATGGCAGCACCATAATCTAGGCTAAAACAGCAGTTTTATTGACGCCCTATGTAAACAAGAGGAATAGTTTTCTTTAGGCAAGACCACTAAGAACTATTAGAACTTGTTTTAAAATACTAATATGCCTTCTAATAGAAGACAATCAGACAATCACAAACAGACCTTTTAAAGTGCGTTCATAAATAGAATGCTTTCGAAAGGACTTCAACAAACAAAATAATTGCGAAGGGTTAATCCATAGATAAAATACTTTATATAGACGAAAATCATAAAATCTTTATTTTTATATATGCCAAATTTATTGAACTTATTAAATTTAAAATGTATTAAATTTCAAATTATATACAACATTTTAATATTTTGTTACCCGAAGTTTCCAATGAAAATTATTTCATTTATTTCGTAATTTAAAAAACAAACTTAAAAATTAAATTTCATTTGATTTTTTTTTAATTAAATAAATTATCAAAATTTATAACACACTTTATAATAAACATATAAATACATAAAATATTTTTTTGAAACCTCTCAAAGTTTCGTTGTCTGTGATTGCGGATCGGCATTTTTAATACCCAACTTTTCCAATTTGTGAATTCGTCGTATATTCCGTTGCAATTTCTTCTTGAACATCAATTCACGTGATATCGCTCTCAAATCCGATCGTGAACATTCATGTAAATTTCGTACACTTTTCGAAATTAGCTCATCGGTGAGTACAAATTTCGTTTTATTTAGGCGTAAATGTCTGGCTTCTCGGCGTTGCAGCTCTTCACGATATAGAAAGAGGGTATAGGTGACGGAGGGTTTCGATGAGGACATTTTGTAAATGTTTTTGTTTGATTTCTTGTTCTTCTTCGTGTGTTGTGTGCTTCTGGATGCAAGATATGCAACTGATGATGTTGAGGGGCAAGCATGTATATTTTATACACAAAATTTTCTTATTGTTTTATTTTTCTTAAGTCTCAGCAGGTATAGCTGAATAATGTTTTGGGGGATTATTGGTAATCACTTGTGGATAATCCTTGTAAGAATGTTTTGTAAACATGTGTGCATCCATACTATACAATAAACATTATTCTTATTGCCACACATGTGGACAAATTGACAATAAGAATATTTTGTGCTACTATAGAACAGGTATTTCAATTATTCGCAAATTTCCTAATTACCGTCACTTTAATCCTTTAACCATCTGCATGCTTTAAGTCGATGTGTCATGTTTTTTTTTTTTTTTTAATTTTGAGTGAGAGGCATGGTCAGGAGAATTATTTCAGGTATTATATGAACTTCTTTGGGACTTTTGAGGAAAGAAAACGTTCTAAAGTTCTTCTATGAAAGATCTTAGTCAGGGATGTTGCAAAGAGAAGATTGTCTATATGTGTTCTATATACAGAAAAAAAGTTTATAATTTTAAAGACGAATGGTCTTATATAAAAAACCAGTAAGGAAAGTAGTAAAGTCGGACAGGGCCGACTATATGATACCCTTCACCACTTTGGGTATATTCAACAGATGGAAGCCTAACAGACATCGCATTTTTTGAAGGACCATTAATATGAAATTAAACAGGTCTTTCTGCAACCTATAAATTTTGGTCAGATATAGAGTTGCTTCTTACAATAGGACAAAATTATGTAAATTAATTTAAAGCAAAATATCTAAATGTAAACCGATTTCATCGAAACTTGTCACATGTTAGGTTACACTTATTTTAGTATGTTTTGTGCATTCCGCCACATTTTGAATTCTTTATTATATATAAAAACATATAGGGACTTTGGTGCACAATTTACTTAAAATAGGATAAAAATATATATGAGATCTATATCTAAACCTGAACCGTTTTTTCCAAAATAAAAACACATATTTCTAGACTTAATTCAATACGCTATGCCAAATTTCGTGCAAATCTAAGGATATATAGGGTCTTTGGTGCACCATTTACCTAAAATCGGACGAAAATATATATGGGAGCTATATCGAAATCTGAACAGATTTTTATGAAATTTTACACACATCATTCTAGACTTAATTCATTACGCCGTGCAAAATTTGGTGCAAATCGAAAGATATATAGGGACTTTGTTGCACCATTTACATAAAATCGGACGAAAATATATATGGGAGCTATATCTAAATCTGAACCGATTTTTATGAAATTTTACACACATCATTCTAGACCTAATTCATTACGCTGTGCCAAATTTCGTGCAAATCGAAAGATATATAGGGACTTTGTTGCACCATTTACATAAAATCGGACGAAAATATATATGGGAGCTATATCTAAATCTGAACCGATTTTTATGAAATTTTACACACATCATTCTAGACGTTATTCATTACGCTGTGCCAAATTTCGAAAGATATATAGGGACCGTTTACATTAAATCGGACGAAAATATATGGGTGCTATATCTAAATCTGAACCGATTTTTCCCAATTTCAATAGGGTTCGTCCTTGGGCCAAACAAGTGACCTGTGCCAAATTTCATCCAATTCGGATCATAAATGCGACCTGTACTTTGTTTACAATTTAACATGGACAGACAGACAGACGGACGGACGGACATGCATAAATCGACTCAGAAAGTGATTCTATGCATATTCTCAAAAGGAACCATGTGTCTATCTCGTTTCCTTTTGCCTGTTACAAACATATGCACAAAGACATAATACCCTGTACCACAGTGTGGTGAAGGGTATAAAAATTTATGGTCTTCCACAAAAAGTACTTCTATATATGTCTATTTATGTTCTATATAAAGAAAAATTGATTTTTATTACACAACTTAACTGTATCTATAAAGAGGCCCAAGTAAAATATTTTTTTTAATAAAATTTCTCCTGTAAGGATATCAAATGTGTTCTTAAGAAAGTCGATGGCTTTTATTTCTATAATATAAGCGGAATGGTCTTCCAGAAAGAGCAGGAGACATTAGAAGGCCTAGTGACCAAAAGGTATTTAAAAATATGACTAAGTTCTCTCCTAAAATGCTCTTCTATAAGAAATTCTAATGATCTCCCATACGAAGTCCGAATCATTATTAATAGACCTTATCGTCACCTATAGGAAAATTAAGAGTATTCTATATAAAGTTTAAATTATCTTCTAAAAAGACACCAAATGATATTCTATGCTTCTCTAAACGACGCTCAAATTGTATTCTAGGAGAATATCTCACTGCCTTCCATAGCAAGCCCTCGTGGTCTTTTATATAAGAACACCTAGTGATTTTATTCCTAATGGACTTTATTATCGCCTTCCAAGTTCCAAAATTAGGTACAAATGGTCTCCTATACGTAGAGGAAATGAGATGAGATTCTTTAAGAAGCCATATACATCTTACGAAGTCGAAATTGCACTCTACATGTAGAGAGGACCCTTTTAAATAAGTTATTAGTCAACTATTAATGGTCCTAATGGCCATGTATAGGGACGTTATTATGAAACATCAATAGCCGTCCAAAATAAGTTTAAATTGAATTCTATTTAAATAAAATATAATTTTATGGAGATGGCCCGATTGTCTTCTACAGCATATCCTCCTGGTCTTCCATATTAAAAGAAGACAAATCTCTTTATAGAAGACCACAATTTCTTAATATATATTTGGTTATATTATTAATATACTGAAGTTGATTAGAACTACTTATAGCCCCGAAAAAGTTATTGAGGCTCCAGAAGACGTGAAGACGGTCTTCTGTCTTTTTCTGCTCATCAAAAAACAAAAACTGTAAAACATGGCATTGAAAATTGCAGAAGTTTAAAAGATTACACAATTTGTTAATTGGGAATTCGTAAACAACTACAAAATACCTCAAAATATTCTTATTGTCAACCTTTTCCATATTTGCGGCAATAAGAATTAATTTTTATGGCATCACGCTGGTGCACACGTGTTTACATAGCAAGGATTATGCAAAAGCGATTACCATTAATCCCGCAAAACATTAATCACCTATACCTGCTCCGACTGCACAAATAGTCAGACGAACAAAATTCTTCGTATAAATCGTCCATTCTTACCCCACATCATCAGCAGTTGCACACCTCGCATCCAGTAGCACACTACACTCAAAGAAGAAAAAGAAATCAAAAAAAAATATAAATCATTTAAAAAATGTCTTCATCGAAACCCTCCGTCACCTATACCCTCTTTCTATATCGTGAAGAGCTGCAACGCCGAGAAGCCAGACATTTACGCCTGAATAAAACGAAATTTGTACTCACCGATGAGCTAATTTCGAAAAGTGTACGAAATTTACATGAATGTTCACGCTCCGATTTGAGGACAATATCTCGTGAATTGATGTTCAAGAAGAAATTGCAACGTAATATTAGACGCATTCACAAATTGGAAAAGTTGGGTATTAAAAAACAGACAACGAAACTTTAAGAGGTTTCAATATTCTGAATCGTATTTTTATGTAAATTATATTAAGTGTTATAAATTTTGATAATTTATTTAAATAAAAACATTAGCTTTTAAGATGGTTTTTAAATTACTACAAATAAATTAATGAAAATTAAAAAAAAAATATCTTTATAATTTCATTGGAATTTTGGGATAGCAGATGACTTAATAATATATATACATATATATAGGCTTTCATAATAACCTTCCTATATATGGCCATTAGGACCATTAATAGTTGACTATTAACTTATTTAATACTCTATACTCTACTTGTAGAGTACAATTTCGACTTCGTAAGGCAGACGAATTTTGTAAGGCAGATGTTAAAGAACCTCATTTATTCTCCGTATATGAGACCATTTGTACCTAATTTTGGAACTTAGAAGACGATAATAAAGACCATTGACCTTTTAAGGCTTCCATATTACTGAATAAATAAATTGAAATAGAAATTTTATCCA